GGGTTCAAAATTTAAAAAAAGCAACTGCACCAGGAATATGTCAAATAAATTTATTAGGAAGCATTCGAAACGCAAATGTCGCACTTTGGATAGATGAATTGTCAATTGATACAAAAGAATACAGCTCAATTTTGGCTTTGGCTATAGATCGCCATCACAAAATTTCTCTATATATTGAAGATGCTTATATCGATGTTGAAGACGATGTTTTAGAAGCAAATCGCAATTGGTTGTACATTGAAAGTAGTTGAATATTGAATATACATTCTAGGGGAATATCACGTAATTTTTATTCACAAAACTTATTTCTATCTCATTTATTTCATTCAAAACCAATAAAATCTATCAGAGCTCTCATTTTGTATATGCCTATATTTCGAGAGTAGGGTATCAATGAGACTTCTGGACCAATGAGAATCCAATTCAAACCACGTGGTGCTGTTATCAAATTGAATTGGAATCCAATTGATTTGAACTTGATGCGGGCCACGTGGTGTAGCATTCGCATTGAATCCCATTGAGTTGAATTGGAATTAACGCGTTGAATTGGAATTAACAACGCATTCTCATTGGAATTGACGCGTTGAATTGGAATTAACAGACGCAATCGCATTGAATTTAGCGTGACGTTTCAATGGAAATTGGATAATGGTAAAAAGGAATGAGACGAAAAATGAAAAATAAACGAATAAAACACAATTTTTGCAGAAAATTGTGTTTTATTCATTTATTATTCACTTTTTTCGGCCATACCTTTTTACCATTATACAATTCCCATTGAAACATTAAGATGAATGCAAAAATAAAAAACCTATTGAAACTATGAAAAAAAAAAAACCAGAGACAATTTTTACGAAGTAAAAATTGCCTCGAGGTTTCGCCGAACGAGTGGAACGAGTGAGCGAAACTTCGAGATAAAGACCTGGAAAAATGTAGAGACTGAAAAAAAAACACTGAAATATCGATAGAAAATACTTTTGTTCAAGTTTTTAGAAAATGAATCGATTATTTTTATTCCTCATATTTTTGTCTGAGCTTAGCTACAAACTGCTCGAGAGCATCACTAAAAACCTTAAAGTCAATATTATCATCATCAAAGTGTGGAAGTGAAATCAAAGTGTGCTGAAAAAAAATAAAGTGTAAATAAAAACATCGGTGTTTAGTTTGGAGAAAAAAAAAATATTGATTTTTATTGAAAAAATGGAAGAAATTGATTTACAAAATATTTTGATTGTGAATTATTATCGAATTTTCGAAAATTATTGGAGATTAAGTGAGTTCAGTTTACATCAGCAAAATCCATGGTTTCGATGTTGTATTCGGCTGCCTCCTTGAAGTCAATCTTCAACTTGTTGTTCTTCGATTTATCCTTCCCCATGTAACATAAAATCTTCGGTGTTGCGTTGAGCTCATCAATATTCTCAGGCTTCAAATTGACTGCAAATCGCTCCGGTAGATAGACTGCTTTATCTCCAAGATCGAGGCGAAGGCGAAGTCCATATTGGGTTTGGACGAGTGCGAATTCGTGGATGAAATGCTCTCCAATCGACAGATTTTCGAAGGAGATAACCTTCTTTTCATAACATAAAGCATACTCCGAGCATGTTTATGGACAATCAATACATTGAATTTGACACGGACTCTTAACGCCATCTAGACATGTTTCCTGGCGTTAACTATGCTTTATTACACCAAAGCCAATGAATTTGCCATAAGTTGTTCACGCATTCGCCGTAAGATGTATCGCAGCCAAATCAAATACTTCTGTCAAACTAGAAGCTGTCAACGTTTGTTATGGTTTGGATGAAATAACATTACTGAATCGTATTTTTAAATTCAACTTGAAAAGTATTGCAAAAATATGGATAAGTTAGAAAAAAAATAAAATATAATTTCATTTCCAATTCCATTTTATTATTTGCTGCAATTTAAAACGAAATTTTGTGTGTTAAATGTGTATGAAATGTGGTTGTTATTGAATGAGTCTTTTGTTTATGCTTATGTGTAACTATATGAGATGATTGTCAAATATGTTTAAACTTCATGTATTTTCATTTTCATTTTAGATGCCAACTAAAAACAAACAATAGTCTTATTTTATTGGATGAATTTTTTGAGTCGTTACTGTCCTAAATAATGGAGCAATTTATGGAGCTTAGATCGAAGTGATTTTTGACGTTCTCTAAATGTTATTGATCTTGCCATGTGTGTTCCCTTAACTTTAGCATATTCATCAACGACAAATCGAATTAAAAATATTTTGTGATGAAAGTGTTCGGAAAAATCAGTGTCGTTGTACAACGCTTCAAAATTTAAATTTAGCAATATTTCATGATAGATAACGTTGAAATCTACCGTTCCTTTCAGTAATTCTTCCTTCAAAAATCGGTCAGCTTGTTTGCAAATACAAAACGTACTGTAACACGGTTTGATGATAAATTTAGTGCCGTCAAATGTATCAGCTTTTTCCCGATTCTCATCGAAAATATGCTTACACAATGTACAGTTGAACTGTTTCGCAGATTTAATTCTATTTTCTATGAGGTTTGCGATATGGGCCACCGTATAGTCAGTCAAATCTTCTGAGTGTTGGTTCACCTCCATAGCTTCAATTTCACTCATTTTATCGTACAGTTCTTCAATTTGATCTTCAGACACTCGTGAATATGCACCCGTAGCATGTTTATCGATTGTGGATCGTTGTGAAGTAATTGATAGAATGTTTGAATAAGGATTTTCATGTGATTCCGATGGCCTGCAATTTGAAGACTTCGAAGTCATGACTGTACTGTGTACTAGTAGCTTACGAAATGCTCCCGAAAATTGTTCGCATGTTGGATTGTCATTATACCCGCCCAAAGAACGTATTTTCCCAAAAAATATTTCCAATTGATCTTGTTGGAAAACGTACGTTGGAATCGATGCGATCAATTTACGTTCTTGCACAAACTCTCCAAACAGCATTTTAAGCGAGATCATATCTATTATACATCCATTGAATCCTGTATTAATTTTTGAATTGCAAACTCTGACTAATTTGCCTTCGTCATTCACAACTCTAAGTCTTTTTATGTATTCAACTGCCTTGTCAATGAACTCAAAGAAGAGTGTTGCATTTTCTACGCTCAACGTTTTTTTGAATGGATTTTCTTTCTTATCGTTCTTAGTATTATGGATATCAAACGCAGTGTTCCATACGCGAATAAATTCAATCGTTGGTCCAGCACCAGCAAACTGGGGTAATCCTTTGTTCATCAACAGTTCCATGGAATCTGCTGTGGACCCACTCAGAGTTTCAACTGCCAAATTGACTTTCATTTTATTTCGTCGCCAATCGATGTGGGCCTGAGTCATTTTATGTGTTAGCGCAAATCCGGAGTCTTTCATTTGCACCAAATCGATGAAATACTGCCATTTGATCTCATTTCCTTTGTCGTCGATTAGTACCCCTTTTGCAGATAATCTGTTCCTTACCAATTTGATCATATGGCAAAAATCGAAAAATATGTAAACCTTCTGTCCATTCACAGTGATGTATGGTTTGAATCTTGGAGAATAGACGTTTAATACTGCGCCAAACAAACTGCACATGGTTTTATTTGCTTGGAAGCCATCAAAAATGAGGCCGGCCACAAAAACGTTGCATTCAATCAACGCTTTCAAAACTTTTCCAACGAGCTGCTCTCTTTCTTCAGCATTCATGGAGTTTATGAAATAGTAACCAATTGGAAGGTCGAGTGAATCGTTTACTGCATTTACGTAAAATACCAGTGCTTGGTTCGCTACATCGGATTTATTTTTTTCATCGCGATTGTTGCACATGTCGTATCCGACCAACTTTTGATCTTTGTTTGACCACTGGACGTGTTTTCTTATATGAACTTCATCGAATTTCAGAGAAATAATTAATTTTTCGTTTAGTTTGTCCTTTTCCGCAACTTTTTTTTTAATTACATTCAAGCACTGCGGAATAATTTCGTTCGGTTGGGCATTCATGTCACTGTTGGCATACCATGAGCGGATAGTGACAGAGTGAGGTAAATTGTGCTTGAATGTGTCTCGTACGAACTCATAAGCGCGCGGGCTATTGAAATGAAGTGTGAGACAAAATTTTCGCAATTCTTCTGGATATTTTTCTCCAATCTTAACACCATTGATGAGACAACCAACGATTTGCTTTTGTTTGTGGTTCTAAACATAAGAAAATGAAACATACCGATTTAGTTTACATATCTATTGACTAGATCGAGAGGAGAGTAAGTTCATTTGACTTTGTTATGAAAGAGAAGAGTAAGTTTCTTTCGACTCAAAAATGGTTAAGAGCGAGTATGTTCATTTTTGGCGGGTTTTCCACGGTTTCCGCGGAATTGATAAGAGATAACAACTTAATGTCCTTGGCAAAGTTGTAGCACTCGAGGTCTTCTATAACATTGCTGAAGTCAGTTATCTCTTATCTCTTATCAGTTCCGCGAAAAGCGCGAAAAATGATAAGAAAAAAAAAGTTCTATATAAAATTTGCTTTTTTATGTGCGCGATTTGCGCGCAACTGATAAGAGATAAGAGATTTGCCGAAGACACCATGTTGTTATCTCCTATCAGTTGCGCGAAAACCATGAAGACCGCAGAGGCTAGACGGTTCTACAACATACTCTACTTTAACGCCAACAGAATCATCAGAAAACATACTCTCCTCTTTCAAAATATATTAGAATTTTTTCACATACTCTCCTCTCGATCTAGTCAATAGATATGTGCATAGTAATAATTAAAAATTTTCGAATCTAAATATTTACTTCAAACTCTTCTGGCAAGCATCTCCCTTCTCTGATATCGGTTATCGTTTTGCTCAGCTTATTCGCTTTATCTTTTAAATATGTAACTTCTTTCTTCAAAGATTTGATTTCTTTATTCTGGTTTTCTTTCATTTTAGTCAGATATTTGATGCGTGTATATAGGAGCATTCTTTCTTTTCGAAGTATGGATTTCAAGTCGTCGACTTGGTGCATCAATTCTGAGTAGCGATCCTCTGCAATCAATCTTTTGTTATTGTAATTGCCCTCGTCTACTTTGTTGTGATTCGGAGTGACTGGCAAATTATCATCGAAATCTTCATTCACTTCAATCAAGCAAATATTGAACAATGATGGGAGGGCACCCGGCTTCAGTTTATACCTTTTTCCATTGCTCGAAACATTGTAATCGTCCGGCGTAAAATGCTCAAGACACACTGCGTCACTTGAACCACATTCATGGTCTTTCAATGCAATGTTCCAAGCCATTCGTTGACTCGGATCCTTTGGAAGGCTATTAATATATAAAAACATATTAATTTTAAAGATAAGTATTGCTTCTTTCAACACAAAATTTATCCCCGATCAAACTAAATTTCACGAAAAAAACACGATCAAATTGAGAGAGCGACAATAAATTGAAATAGTATGATAAGAAGCAAGAATTCCTTTTTTCCAGTCTTCGATCACTCACCAAAACATGTGAACTTGAGCATTTGGAACTCCCTTGTTATTTTCACAGCTTCGAATTTTACAGTATTTCATTTTTCTTTATAATTTTTTTTTCTCAATATTTTATTCTCCTTCACTGATCCATTGCACAAATATGAATTGTTTAGCTCTAAATAAAACGATGTACTGTCTAACGAATTTGGAACGGAGTGATGTCATGTAAACAGTTTAGCGTTGTTCATTCAATTTTCAAAGTACACTCCGTTTTAAATTCGTTAGACAATTTATCGTTATATTCAGAGCTAAGCATTTCATATTTCAAACGCTGCGCGCGAGATTCAAAATTCCATGAATGGAAGTAATATTTGATTAGAAGATTGCCATATCAGAACACATTGATGATTTAATAATGATTTAACTTTAATTTTTGGGTCATAAATCGACACTGCTTTGAATCTCAAATTTGAATTTAAAACGATAAAGTTTGAAAAAATCTTCTTATGAATCTACCTAAAATCGCGAGTGGATCCATAACTTCGCACTTTTCTGCAAAAAAATTCTGAAAAACTGTGAAAAAAACTGAAAATCGAAAATTTATACACATTTTTTTGTGTTAAACTCAATCTACCTTTATTAAGAAAAAAAAACATTCAATGAAACGATAGTAAAACGGCATAAATATTGTGAGCACTGTAATAAGTAGAATTGATCAGCTTGTATATAAAAATATTTTCGTTAAAGCTAATAATATTCGCTTCGTAATGATTGTTACAGCTGTAAACACTTTTAAAATGAATAAAAAATATTTCTAATCTGATTCACTGAATTCCAATCGACCGAAGCTTTCATCGGAATCGTCAAATGGAACAGAAATGGCATCATTGAATGAAATCGTATCAAGAAATGGTGACACTGTTTCATCCGACTGGCGTTCAAATTTGTCCAAAATATCCAAAATGAACTGGGATGTGCTCGTACGTCTTTTGACACAAACAGGCGAATCACTTTCCGTTGGAAATTCCATTAAATCGCAGACTGGAATCAAAGCCGGAACGTTTCGTTTTGGTATTGGCTGAACATTCATAGGAATCAATGGTTGTGGTAGATTCAATGAAGCCGGAATTGCGTCATCAATAACTGATGCTTGATTTGTTGGGAAGAAATTATTGGTAATTCTAACCAATGGCACCGATGACAACAAAACACTCTTCGAGGTAGACGCTTCTTCGTTCACTGAAACATGTTTTTCACTTGGTGTCAAAATACATTCCAATACCGAATTATGTTCGTTCGACGATGCATCATTTACACTTGACATAACCGCTTCCCTCGGCGAAACATTTTCTTTCGATGCAACACACTTCTCATGAGCCAGAAGAGCCAAAACGTCTTTTTTTGTCGAACCACCTCGGTTTGCCGGTGATGCAGTCGGTTGATTTGGTGTCGAATCATCTTGAGTTGGCGATGATGCCGCCGGTTGTTCCGGTGACGGAGTTTTTCCAGGCGATGGCACCGAATCGTCTTTGTTTGCCGGACTACTTCGGTTTGCCGATGATGCAGTCAGTTGAATCATTGTCGAATCATTTCGAGTTGGCGATGACGCCGCCGGTTGTTTCGGTGACGGAGTGTTTTCGTCCAATGAAAGTGCATCTGATGTGCCCAAAGAATTGTTGGTTGAACCACTACCGCTTACACATACTGCTGCATGCACTGAACGACGACGGGTGAATGGCTTGCTCGAAATTCTTCTGAACAATACGGAAGGCTCAGCATTGGAACTTGCATCCGATGGCAACACACTTTTGTCAACAGCGATTGTAGTTCGACGTGCTCGAATCTTTGCTGAACGTCTGGTGACAAGTAATTGTTCCAAATTTGGTTTGCGTACAACTCGAACTTTACATGCGACGAAACTTTCCATTACCAATTTACGAGTTACTAATTTCCAAACAAAAATAATAATTGTTAGCATCAGAACATCTTGGTTTATTCATAAAATTTAATGAGATAGCACTCACCTCGTTTGGGTTGCACTTCGATATCAGAGCCAGAATGGCTTCTTTTTTGTACACGAGCAAATCAATCAATAATTGAATCTCTTTCCAAATTTGATTTTTTTTGGGGAAAAACCTACAGTATCAAAATGATTAATTATATTATCCAACAAAATATTTGAAAAAAAAATTCTAAACGCCAAAAACTATGTATGAATAAATTTAACTCACTTTAAAATCGCTAAAATCTCCGCTAAATTCGTAATATGCAAAAATCAGATGAGTACCGTACTGTAGTCAGTGAGCGAATAAATACAACGAACATTCAACAACTTTGACAGCGCATTGAGTGCGGTTGCACCAATACATAAATAATATGTAGCAACACAGTGTGACGCACCGCGCCAAATCTGGCTTTGATCGATGTTTGCATAGGTCAGTGACATGAACGGACGTTCACTCCAATGCTTACTAGATTGAGACAATGTTTTACATTCAATCCATTCCACTTTAGAGCCGCGGATCTTCAAATGGGAGAATAGTGACAACATATCTTTTTTCATGCACACCGCAAAGTCCAATCAAGGCACAACAGTAAATAAAATGCAATTTGATTATCGTGAATATTTAATTGAAGTTTAGAAATGTGATAAGAACATTTTTATTTTGGTAGTTGGTTGAATCGATCAGGTCAATGAACAATGAACAATGTGTGTAAAAAATGCACCAATTCAATGAACGATAAACATATGTGATTATTCAATGCAACTCTCTAAAAATGTGAGCACTAGCTCAGGGTATTTGACTGATGCCTTCTCTGCATTCATGATGCTGATGTCTGAGTCTGAATGCTTGAAAAAGTATACCAATTCGTCTTTATCCTTCGTTACATCTGTGGAAAAAAATTTGGTTGAATTATTTTTGACAATGATTCTGTATAGCTTGAAAACTTACACATGACTGTGCTCGGTTTGCCTTTAGGCTCAATGGTTAGCAGCTCCGGTGCACCCGTTTCTTCATCGTCATCAGTGTGCCAGACTAATTGTGCTTGAAGATAATCGATGATTATGACAGCAAAGTTCCTGGCCTCTTTCGATGAAATCACTTTTGGATTTTGCTCATTCCACTTTATTAAATATTTCACACCATCACAATCTCGTTTGGCACCTTCAAAAATGCAAATCGAAATTTCATTTAATGGAGTTTTATCTTCGATCAACGAATGCCAATTAATTTCTCAAAACAAGCAGTACTTACCCAAAACTTTCGGACCATTTTTTCTCTCGAATTCAAGAACCAGTTCATCACAGTTCATTTCCGATTTCAAAACCCATGACGGGCGTTTAACACCAAGCCATTTCAATTGATATTCATCCTTGAAACAAACATTCAGAAAATGTATTATTATCTGAATCGTTTTCATTTGTGAAATACAATTACAATACTTACTTCATTTTTCCCGATACGTTTTTGTAAAACGGTTTCAACAGTAAAATCTTCCATTTTTCAATTGGTGCTCTTTTGATATTCACTTTGTAAAACATACACCGCAAAATACATGTAAATTGTAAACAATGCGTTTGACAGTTTGAATTCGCCATAAAGCTTCATTGTATGAACACTTTGAATTGTAAGATGGGATTGATTCAGAACACTTAACGTCACTCCCATAGATGGCATTAAGTGTTAATTCGCTGTCATATTCTATGTATGACATAAAGTTTTCAGGAGTCCGAATGATGTTGATGAAGAAGACATTTTCACGGGTTTAAACTTCAGCGTTTTTCTCTATGAAATTCACTTGAGAGCTGTTCGACTTGAACTGATGATTTTCACTAAGACAACTTGCGTTTATATACAGAAAATCTTAACCCCCACTCCGCACAAAAAAATCTATCGTCGATCAATTGTGACGATGAGCTCGAAGTTCTAACAATGGTGAGAGATTTCTTTACCACGCACACGCATATCGATTCAACCACCTGCAAACGATTAATCATTGCGGGTCAATAGAATGCGGAGGTTGAAAGAAAACAAAAAGGCCCCCTTGCAACAATGATGTGTAAAGAAACGTATACCTGCAGCTGTATACATCCTTAAGGGTTCGATAAATCTCGGACAATAGGGTTCAATTTCAAAAGAATTTTAGAAAAAAAGGAACCTGAGTTTTTTCTCATGGGAAAAAATGATTCGAACACCTGCAAATCATTAATCAATGTTGATCAATAGGTTGAGGTGTTTGAAAGAAATATCCAACTGCACCCGTCCCTTAAGAGATCGGTATATCTCGATCAATAGAATTCGAAGGTGGAATTCTTTCCCACAGAAAAAAAAATGATCCGTCCGCCGTTGGATATTATCGGTTAGATGAGCGGTGTTTCGAGAAAATATAAACGCGGATCTGACTGAAAATATTGATAGTTTTTGTTCAACCTTTCACAGGAAACAATCTTGAGTGTGAATTCTCGAAAAAATGGCTCTGAAAGTTGAGTTTGAGTATCGTGAAATGGCGTTCAACAGGAGAATGTTAACGTTCGCTATAGTGAATCGTGAACATATTGATATTAAAGAATTCTTGTTTGACGCGTACAACTATTATGAAAATGAAATCTCGCAAATTTTAAATACTCATCCTATCATTAAAGTGAGCACATGTTTTTGCGCAACATTTGAAAAACTTGTAGTGCAAAATGTGCTGAAAGAAGGTGAAAAAATGGATGTTGATGAAGGTGAAAAAATGGAAGTTGACGAAGATGGGAATCCGATGGACGTGGACCATGATCAAGAGGAGCGAAAAGAGAAACAGACACTTTATCTGCATACGGAAACTGAGATGATCGACATCGATGCAGACTTGTATCAAATGTTCGAAGATAGTGTCATTACGTTTATATTGAAAAAGGTCGAGGAAGCGGTCATGCGTGGATCAGGATTCACTTTATCATCGATTAACGAGCTTGTTGTGCAAGTAAACAGATATGATCCTATAAAAGGATCATCATACATAAAATTGCCGAAATACTTGGCCAACAAAAAAGCTGTTGTCAATGTAAATAACAAGAAAGATGAGAATTGTTTTATGTGGGCAGTGTTATCTGCACTTTATCCAGCTCAACAGCATGTTGATCGATGTAAAAGTTATGTTCAATACAAAGATGAACTTGATTTTACAGGAATCGAGTTTCCAGTGAAACTTCGTGACATCAAAAAATTCGAGGAGGTAAATCCCTTAATATCTATTAATGTATACATGTACAAGGCTAAAGACGAAAAAATTGAACCAGTGTGAATTACACCCGAAGTTAAACGCAATCATATCCACCTACTTTTACTGACTCAACGGTCCGATAATCCTGACGACGTGATGGACTCGAAGACTCACTACTGCTGGATTAAAGACTTGAGTCGTCTGATTTCAAGTCAAGTATCGAATCACCGTGGACGACATTATTTCTGTGACCGATGTTTAAATTACTTTCATCGTCTCGCATTATTGGAAGAACATCGTATTAATTGTGGTAAACAAAACATACAATCGAGATGCCTGCCGAAGGAGACGATATAATCAAATTCAAAAATATTAAGAATCAAGTGAAAGCACCATTCGTTATATACGCCGATGTTGAAGCACTTTTAAAAAAACCTTCCTAACCGTTCTGTAAACAATATGGTAAAAATCCTGTAAAAACCGTTGCATACCAACAACATGAGGCCTACAGTGTTGGATATTACTTAAATTGCACATTTGACAGATCAAAGTCGTTTTATAAATCCTACCGCGGTGAAGATTGTATCGAATGGTTTGTAAAAGAACTGCGCGATTTATCGAAAATTTTCGGAGGCATTTTCGATAATTCACAACCATTAAAAATGATGTCAGAAGATATAAAAAACTTCACAAACGCTGAAATATGTCATATATGCGGGGGAGAACTTGCAATGAGTGACAAGGGGTCCGCAGTGCGAGATCATTGTCATTTTACGGGCGTATATAGAGGAGCCGCGCATCAGTCCTGCAATTTAGAATACCGTGATAATCGTACTGTACCTGTGGTATTCCATAATTTATCGAATTACGATTCACATTTCCTTATACGGAAACTTGCAGTGGGTTTTCCCGGAGAATTGAAATTAATTTCAATCAATAAAGAGAAATACATCTCGTTCATAAAAACTGCTGCCGATAGTGCAAGTAAATTCAACTCTATGGTCAAGTTTAAATTCATCGACTCCTTCAGATTTATGGCATCCTCACTTGATCGTCTATCATCATTAATACCATCGGACAAAAAAACATTACTTCGAAACGAGTTTAAAGATATAAGTGAGGAACAAATGCAACTCCTGGAAAGAAAAGGGGTTTTCTGTTACGATTACGTTGATTCATGGGAGAGACTTGAAGAGACTGAACTACCCTCAAAAGAAGCATTCTATAGCAAATTAACTAATGAAAAAGTTTCCGATAAGGATTATGCGTTTGCGACTGAAGTTTGGAATAAATTCAATGTGAAAACTCTCGGTGAATATGCCGATTTATATCTAAAAGTCGATGTCTGCCTACTGGCACTTGTGTTCGAGAACTTCAGAGAAACATGTCACCAAATTTACAAGCTAGACCCGGCCAACTATTACACATCACCAGGTTTATCGTTCGATGCTATGCTACGTTATACAAAAGTGGAATTGTCGCTATTAACGGATGTAGATATGCTTCTCTTCGTTGAAAGAGGTAATTGTTCTTCGAGCATTTTACGTATAAAATCTTCAATACCTAACCGTGAA